ATCACATATCTAACCCATATGCGACACTGAGAGAGATAAGGCTACTTCGTGCAACACGAATGGAGATACATCCAAGTTAAAGGGACTGAACGCATGCGTATTTCCAAACAGAACAGCTGTGTGACAACGTAAGATGATATTTTCAGGTTTACTATTATTTCGGCAATAAACAGAATAAATATGAAATACAAAACTTTAAGGATATATAAATTTTGTAGAGTAAAATAGAATGTTTGATTATTTTGCCCATAAAATGATGCTGCTCCTATGAACGGTTTTTATCTGCGAATTAAATACATTACCGATGAAGCCTGAATACTTCCGAACATATTTTATCTCCGCGTGGTTTCTGTTAGTGACGTTACGTTAAATCATATAATAGCCATTTTGTAAACATTGTTGCCGTTAGCTGTATTGGAGTGTTTTAAAAAGTTGTTTACAGTGGATTTATAGTTATTTATTTTTAAAACTTTGGCGTTTTTATTAACAATTATTTGCAGTTGCAAAGAATGTCTAAATCAGTATCGGAAATGCAAGAAAGAAAATAAAAACATACATTTTTTTCGCTTTCCTAAAGAAGAACAATTAATTGTATAATTATTAAGTACTTTTTATATAGATAAATTTAAATTTCTTATAAAAATTGTTTAAAAATTCAATTTTTATAATATAAATTGTTCTTTTAAATGTCGATAGAAAAATGTGGACGCCCAGAATTAATAATGCATGGATAAAACGATTTCAAATTTACATAACTAGTGTAACACCATTTGGAAGTTTACTATCCCTAAAATGACATATTTTCTATATTCTTTACTCTAACTGAGCTATTTAATAAAATAACTTGTAATTCTGCGAATTTACTACTACATAAAATCTATCAATCAAAATTTTAGTAAACCTCTAATAAAAAAAATGAAAAATTAAATATGTGTAATTTTACATTTAATACATATATAGCAATTTTACTTTAATACATTAGTTATCTAATTTATCATCCCGTTTAGACAGACACTTTATTAATTAAGTGAAAATTGTGATAAATGTAGGTGTAAGTATTTTATGTTCATGTTTATTCAATATTTCGAACCGACAACACTTTCTTCAGATATAAATTTTTATTGCCCAATCTGGCAACGTTTAGCATCCAATTTAAAGGGACTAGGTCAACAGCGGCATTTACGCCACATCAGAGGAGTGTCGCATATGGGTTAGATATGTGGTACTAGTTTTCTAAAATTTGAGATATTGGGTTGTTCGTTATGCAACCAGATATACACTATATACGTTAATTGGGTCTGTTCCATAAACCTCAAATCAATTGCAGAGATGCAGAGTAAGAGATCCAATGGCACAGAACATAAGAAAACGGATGCGTTTGGTCTGAATTATTGTCCAATCAGTAATTACATTGATATTTATACAATACCCAAGTGCGATTCTGATTGGTTTTTAGGCTATAACAGACTACGAGCGATATGTAATTTTAAATATCCATGGTGAGACCGAGTACATCCTTTATCTAAGGTGAAAATGTACTAGATTTGATAGTAGGGTACTACTAGTAGGTAGGGTACTAGAGAGAGAGGGTAGTGTACTTTTTTGTATAAAAATGTACTAGCAAGAACATCACTGGTTAGTACTGTTGAGTAAAGTATTAACATAATGGTATCGATACTAAATTTCTTGGTATTGTGGAAACATCCATGGAGACTAGATAGTCTGTATAGTCTCCATGGAAACATCGATGCTTGTTTCGCGAGACATTCCTAATTAGAGATGGGAAATTCGGCTCATTTTGTTGAACCGGTTTCGGATCCTCGTAGGGAGCGGACTCATTTGAGTCGAACTTGTCATAATTATTCCTTCCTTTTTTAGTACACTGCGACCCGTGTAGCAGTAGGAGTCAACGCACTGTGTTGCTTGCTAAATAGTATTTATTTAGCACACACATGAAATAATTTGTTTAACAGCTATGTATTATATTTATACAATGCTTTTTTGTCCATTACCTATTGGCGATAAGAAAAAATATGTAACAAAGACAATAAGGTGGCGCACGATGCAAATACACTCTACACCTGCACTGTCTGAATTGCGCGAGTGTGCGTGAACTGTTCACGATTTCGTCTTTGGTACGTAGAGCCGGTGTAGTGAGCCAACGCAGTGTTATATCTCCCATCTCTATTCCTAAACTATGCACTACGCAGCCGTAAGCGTAAGAAGCCAAGGTTAGATTAGAAGTGACGAAGTGACATCTTTATATTTTTGTATCTGTTCTATTTATATCTAAAAGAAGATTGTTGTACAGCAATGAGTGATGTTAAGGAAACGCCGTGTAGGCTTTGCCTTAAAAATATAACCGATGAAAATTTTGAAGTGGTAGACAACATTATCAGAGACATGCTAGATGTTCTTTTGCTGAAATTGGTGAGTCATTCAAATATTAGATTAGATCCTAACAGTCCCAAGTGTAAAGCAACTTTTAGCATTTAATTATTAATGTTGCACATTTTTCAGAAATTTGATAACGAGAAGAGAGAGGTTATATGTAAAGTATGTAGAAGAAAGTTAAGTATGGCGTCAGAATTTAAATCAACATGTATGAATACTGATAAGGCAATTATTCCTTATGTCGATAGCGAAAAAATGTTACAGCTCGACCTAAGAGAAGTGTACACGCAGGAAAAGAAAAGGGAGTTAGTTGATATTTCTTGCACTCGGAAAATATGTCGACTGTGTATGCACCCAGTAGAAAGTGAGGTTAGGTGCATACGTGAAGAGGAACTTGAAGCTATTGAGAAATTGGCTCCTGAAATGGTATGAACAATATTAAATACTTGCATATTTTGTAATTTAACGAAACCGCTTTGTAGAATATAAATATCATCAAAGATCCCGTTGTTTGTAAGCCATGCTTCGATTCTCTGTGTACCCATAACAGTTTCCTTAAAGATTGTTCAGAGTTAGAAGAAAAAATTAAAAGTAACTTTGATAGTTCAGCCACAGGAAGTCAAATAGATACGTCTTCACTTGATATATTCGTTAAGACTGAAAACCTGGATGAGGCATTTGATATTAACGATATGGAAATGTCCATCAAAGCTGAATATGTGGACATAAAATCGGAAGTTGAGGAAAGGAGGTAAGGGAAGACTATTTTAATAGCAATTTAAAAATATCAGCCTATGGTTCTGATACTTCGTGACTTATGTGATTGAATATGTACCATCCGATGATAAACTATGAAATTCTGAGTTTATATCAGTTATAAACGGTATCATATAAATTTTTAAACAGTTGTCAAGAGTTACGTTAGCAAATTATTGGGAAAAAATGTAAGATCATTATAAAACGATCAATATGGCTTTAAATCTGATTTTGGTACAACAAATGCTATACTAGATTTCATTCATTCATTAAATTTTTTCAACTTGGGACAGAAATCGCAATTTTCTTGGAACGAAGAGCATAGATCTCCCCGAGTTAACAAAAAAATTAGTGCCATAGACCACCTAGACTGGCTGTATCTAATTATTCCAATGCACGAGTACCACTGAATGAAAATTGCGGGGAAGTGGAGTGTGCAAGATAATCTGAACAAGCATACTTTGAACAAGTCCAGATTAAGTAATAATAATAATAATGAGTTTATTTACAAAACCACATAATACAAATAATAATAATGATTATTAAAATTGATAATAAACAACAATAAACAATTAAAATATAAGTAAATAAACTGGAAAAAGTCACTGAAGCAGTTCTGCTACCGCTTGTGTGTGAATAGTAATACCATTTAAAATTGTTATGTCATATACTATGCACATTTAATCTCAAAACTTACAATAGTACCAGACAATACATATACACATACAGGGTGATTCAGAACTTATCCAAAAAAAAAATTCTGGATGTACAGGGGACCGGGGTTGTACTCTGTAATTTTCTTACAATGCTATATATAGCTATAGACACAAAAAAATATCACAAGATAAAGTGTAACTTTTACAGAAACATTTTTGTTTGATTTTTTGTGACATTTTAAGTAAATCTGAATAATATTTTTGTTATATTAACGACAAATACTAAAAAAAAACAGCAGGAGTCAGAGTCCATTTGCCAGAAAATGTTCAAATTATCGTAAATCTTAGTAATTGTAGATCTGATATCACGGCTTATCATAAGAAGCAAACTCAATATTAAAATCTTCATTATAGGTAACTATATGGAATGGTTTGAAATGGCAGTGATTTGAACTAATTTGTATGCAGAAATCACAGATGGCGCAAGCAATCAACTCTGTTTCAATCTTCCCTATTCACTCTCACCCCCATGGTGTTGCTCCTAACGTATTTGATTTTAGAAATACATTCACGTCACTACTAGTTTTCAAAAATTTGAGATATTGGGTTGTTCGTTATGCAACCAGATATACACTATATATACGTTGATTGGGTCTGTTCCATAAACCTCAAATCAATTGCAGAGTAAGAGATCCATTGGCACAGAACATAAGAAAACGGATGCGTTTGGTCTGAATTATTGTCCAATCAGTAATTACATTGATATTTATACAATACCCAAGTGCGATTCTGATTGGTTTTTAGGCTATAACAGACTACGAGCGATATGTAATTTTAAATATCCATGGTGAGACCGAGTACATCCTTTATCTAAGATGAAAGTGTACTAGATTTGAGAGTAGGGTACTAGTGTACTTTTTTGTATAAAAATGTACTAGCAAGAACATCACTGGTTAGTACTGTTGAGTAAAGTATTAACATAATGGTATCGATACTAAATTTCTTGGTATTGTGGAAACATCCATGGAGACTAGATAGTCTGTATAGTCTCCATGGAAACATCGATGCTTGTTTCGCGAGACATTCCTAATTAGAGATGGGAAATTCGGCTCATTTTGTTGAACCGGTTTCGGATCCTCGTAGGGAGCGGACTCATTTGAGTCGAACTTGTCATAATTATTCCTTCCTTTTTTAGTACACTGCGACCCGTGTAGCAGTAGGAGTCAACGCACTGTGTTGCTTGCTAAANTATTTTTACACTTATGACAAATATTAATTTTTCATTTTTGGAACTCAGAAAATAATATATTTTAATGTCTTGCTTATATTAAATAAACCTACAAAATAATTTAAATATATTTATTATCCTTTAAGTAATGTTAAATTTTTTAATATTAGTCTTTCGGTAGATTTTACTGAATTTTTTAAACGACGTTTGTTTTCTGCGGGGTTATCTATTTTTTTTGTTTATTAGAAATAAAGGAAACCCTCCTAACTTCATATTTTAGTTTCTTCTTCCTTGGGGTATCATCACTAAAATGTTTATATAATCTTTTCATTATCCATGATATTCAAAGTTGACATCAAAGATGTACTACCACATATCTAACCCATATGCGACACTTAGAGAGATAGAGCTACTTTGTGGAACACGAATGGAGATACATCCAAGTTAAAGGGACTGAACGCATGCGTATTTCCAAACAGAACAGCTGTGTGACAACGTAAGATGATATTCTCAGA